AGGCGGGCGGGGGACAGGGCTCACCGATGAAGGAGGGCTGGAATAGCGTCTCGGGGCAGCGGAAGCGCTCGTTGCCGATGGTGATCACCTGTCCATCTGGCAGCTCATAGCTCTTCTCCAGAGAGGACGAGGAGGCGGCAGTAGCCATCTCGTTCTCGAAGTCCAGGGCCACGTAGCACAGCTTCTCCTTGATGTCGCGCACAATCTCACGCTCAGCTGCAGGGGGCAGAAGCAGGGCATGGCTTCAGCGGGTGGCCCGGAGTGCGCTCCCACAGGACCAACCCTGGCACACCCAGGCTGCGCACCTGTGGTCACAAAGGAGTAGCCACGCTCGGTGAGGATTTTCATCAGGTAGTCAGTGAGGTCACGGCCAGCCAGGTCCAGACGCATGATGGCGTGAGGCAGGGCATAGCCCTCATAGATGGGCACGTTGTGGGTGACACCGTCTCCAGAGTCAAGCACGATACCTGCACCAGGTGGGTAGTGTGAGGCCCGGCTGGGACTCAGGGCTCAGGGTGGGGTACACCGTTACAAAGAGGCACACCACGCAGGGCTGGGCCGGGGGCACAGGGTGGGGCTGCAGGTGGGGCGCAAGGCTGGGAGTGAGGTGCAGGTCTCCCCCCTAGGTCCTCCGTGGTTGGTTGCACGCACTCACCGGTGGTACGGCCAGAGGCATAGAGGGACAGCACGGCCTGGATGGCCACGTACATGGCAGGCACGTTGAAGGTCTCAAACATGATCTGGGTCATCTTCTCGCGGTTGGCCTTGGGGTTCAGGGGGGCCTCAGTGAGCAGAGTCGGGTGCTCCTCGGGAGCCACGCGCAGCTCGTTGTAGAAGGTGTGGTGCCAGATCTTCTCCATGTCGTCCCAGTTGGTGATGATGCCATGCTCAATAGGGTACTTCAGGGTCAGGATACCTCTCTTGCTCTGGGCCTCGTCACCCACGTAGGAGTCCTTCTGACCCATACCCACCATGACGCCCTGCAAGCAGAGACAGGATGCACAGGTCACCGCGGCTGCTGGCGCCTGGCGCCTGACTCCTGGCTCCCTCTACAGACACTGCTGAAACTGACCTGGTGGCGGGGGCGGCCCACGATGGAAGGGAACACAGCCCTGGGGGCGTCATCGCCTGCGAAGCCGGCTTTCACCAGACCGGAGCCATTGTCGCACACAAGAGCGGTGGTCTCGTCTTCATCACACATGGTGTCTGGTTTCTCCTAGGACAGGGCCACGGCAGTGACAAACAGTAGTCCACAAAGCACTTCTCTGCCTGCTTACCACAGACCTCCCTCCCCAGAGACCCAGGGACACCTGCAGCTTGAGTCTCTTGCATTCACGAGCAGAGGGGCACAGAGGACCCTCACCTAGCTCAGGGCTGTGCTGCTGGGGGGGGAAGCACAGAGTGGGAAGACCACCCTGCAAAGTCCTCCAGCTTTCTACCGAGGGGACAGTATTCCCTAGAGGCTCTGCCTTCACAGCAAGCACCTGCTCACTAGCTAGTCTTGCCTCTGTCCTCTGCCCACAAGGCCTCATCTGTCAGGGAGGGATTAAGACCCTGTTTGCTCTGCTCTCCTGGCCAGGGTGAGCACAAGGACCTGCCCATGGAAGAAGGGCTGTGGGACACCCTAGACATTCAGACTCAATAGGGACTCTTTGTCCTGTCTGGGGTCCAAGAGAGAGGTGGCCCTTGCTGCCCTAGGCTGCAGTAGGGACAGAGCTGCCCTCCGGAAGACTGAGGTCACACTGAATTTCTTAGCACATCTCACATTCTGATTCCCTGTCCATATCTTAAATTCCAAGTGAGCATTTGGGCTGGAAGTCAGCCTGGAGATATTTCCAGAGCCCACAGTCTCCTCTTTAAAGCACCTGTGGAGCAGGGCAGCGCAGGGCATGGGCCTGTGGCTACACAGCTGGACTCTGCCCATGTCTCTGGGACTCCTGTGAGGGCCTTGCTCCCTGTGCCCTCCCACCTCCACCCTACCTGGGTGGGTGGCTACACCTGCTGTTCTCTGGCTCGGCTGGCCTCTGTGGGAGGGTGGCTGTCCGCTGTGGTGACCGCTTGTCCCCAGCTCAGGTTTTATATAGCCCGAGGGCATTCCCTCCACACCGCCCCGCAGGAATGTTGCTGCCCTTTAGAGCCATATTTGGGTGTTGGGCACAAGTCCCCTCCTTCAGTCAGTTCCTGGCCTGGGCCCCTCCTGGGTCCCCTAGGCTGACCAAAGAAGGAGCGGGCTGGCCCTAGCCCAGGTAACATGGACCAGGCCGTATATGGAGTGTCTCCCCAGCGGGCCTGCCCCTGCTGGGCGTGGGGCAAGGTTCACCGTGTGTGCCCAGCTCCAGCTCGGAGCTGCACCCTGTTGCAAAGGTCTCCCTGTCCCACCGATCCTGTGCACACATGCACTCCAACAGTGGCTGCCCGTGAGCCTCCCAGTCACCCCCTCTGGGGTCCTTTCTCCAGCCCCCCTCCATCCGTGTGCAGCTCCTTGGGGACAGGTGGGCTGGGAAGGTGCAGAGGCAGTCACCGGGATATTGGCAGGGTAGGAGGGAAAGCTTGGCTCTTGAGCCCCACTTCTCCCTGTCCGTCCTAACTCCCCAAACCAGAGCCCTGACCCAAATTGGCCCCTCCCCCCACCTCAGATGCCACAGGCAGCCGGAGGGCACGCGGCGCAGCTGTCGCTGGGTGGACAACTGGTGTGGGGGGTGGAGGAAGAGGCCCAGCGATTTCACCACAGGCGGTGTCGGCTCTGGCCATCGGGCCCCCTGAGCTGTGCCCTCAGTGCTGTAGGATGCTCAGAGGTCCTGAATGGAGGGAGCGGTCGGGTGGGAGTCCAGGCTGGGTTGTTAGCCCCCAACTCCTCCTGCTTGGTGGCACTATATCCCTCCCCTGGGACTGGCTGGGCCTGGATGTGGCGGTGGTAGTGGGTGATGGGAAGGTAAGGCAGTGTCCTTACTGAGGACCAAGACTGCATTATCAGGGCAGAGGCTCCTCCTGCAAACTTGTCTTTATATTTAGAGGATGATGCTGTAGGCTAGGCTGCTCCCAGTCCACCTTGGAGTCACCACCTGCCAGGGCCTCTGCAGCTTCTATTTATACTGTGGATACATGGGGATATGCCTTTCGGGTTCTAGGGACCTCAGTCTGCTTACAGTAAAATGGAGTGGGGTCAATGGAGGCCATTCTCCCAGCACCTCTCAATGGGGATGGGGGATGCTTAGGAGGATATCTTGTCTTCTGTGACAAACAAACATGGTGACATGCTTTATGGGGTGCCCCGGGATGACATGTTTTTCTGATGTATTGTATTCCCCAAAATAGTCGCAATTCACATTTGGTAATGGAATTCAGCAGGGGACAGGTGTGGATACAAAGGGCACCTGACCCCACTCCACAGCCACCATGTAGCTCTCCCTGAAATGACCAAAGTAGGGTCAGTGGAGTCCACATAGCAAGCAGAAAGAGCCAAAAAACCCCAGGGGCTTCCATAGGCATATTCAGCTTTCCAGTTATGTTGGGGAACAAGGGACTAAGGGATGGAACTGTGTTTCCCCTCAACACCCTGCATCCTCCTAGGTTGTGAGTAGTGGAAATATTAGAAAAAAATAAGCCAGCAAGTGTAGTCCGAAATAGACTTACATCTGGGCCCTGAGGCAAGAACAGTGCTGTCACTCACTGGACACCTCACAGGCAACAAGCTGTTGATACTGTTCAGTGCGCTTGTCCAGTACATTTCCCTGCTCTTTGACAGCTCTGAGCTGAGTCTATTGGACTCAACTCCCTTCAAAGCTATGACCCAAGTGACCAAAGCTATGGGTGGCCTGCTGACAGAAGCATTGCACACAGCAGGTGACCAGCAGCTCAGAGGTGCCCTCTGCCCATGACTGATGGGCTAGCTCACAGTCCCTGGGGTCACTCACCCAGGCCTCTCCCACCCCCACTTTGGAGCTGGAGAAGCACCAGCTTCAGGCATCAATGCAGTCTGGCTTGTGACTACCTCTTGAGAGTCGCTTCCCTTCTCCCTCTGCACCTCCTCCCTCCTTCACAGCTTGCTGGCTTGGCCACTCCCAAATTTAAACATGAACCTGTAAGGTCTATGACTGGCTTTTATGTTTCAGTTAAGCCTTCTCACTATCTGGAGGCAGACAGGACAGGCACTGCTCATCCCAACTTTTCTTCTCCTGAGGCTTCCTGTGCTAAGGACACATCAATCATCGGGAGAAGGGGACAGGTGTGATTTCCCCAAAAGGAGTATGTGAAGGGTAGCTGAGCCCACACCATGCGGCTCTTCCTTACCCACACCAAGCTGCCTGTCCTTACACTGAAGTGGCCAGGTCAGGCAAAAGCTGCTTTCTAACTCTCATCTTCCCTAATCCAGTGGTTCTGGAAGTATAAGAGACCCGAAAGAGTCTTCCCCAATGGAGAGTTTAAGACATCTTGAAATGCAAAGTAATGGCTTCACAGGCAACTGCACCATCTAAGAAAGGACCACATGGGCTGCTCCTGCACATGGGCATGTCTAAGAGTGACAGTTCAGGTGGAGCGGGTCCCCTACCTGCCCAATTGCTGTGTGACCTTGGGCAGCAAGTCATCTCCAGGTTCTGCATTTTCAGCTGGGTTATATCTGTTCCATAAAACTGATTTGAATCTGGGCATAGTGGCACATGCCTGTAATCCCAGAACTCAGAAGAATGAGGCAGAAGGATCATTGCTTCAAGAACAGCCTGCACTACATAGTGAGTTCATGGGCATCCTGAACTACACTGCAACATCCCGTCTCAAAAACAAAACAAAACAAAAAACTGATTTGAGATCAATGCTTGCTAAGTGCCTGGGACCCAAGGAGGACTGAGCCCACAGCACGTACTTCTCTAGAGAAAGACGGGCCTGCAGGGATGAGGCCAAGTGCTGGATAGGTAAGCAAAGGTCACGGACACCTCACAAGTAAACAGGCAAGGCCAGGGCAACCTTCCATGTTCTTGGAATGTACAAAAGTTTATTTAAAATGGCAAAATCTCACAACAACCTCCACTTTAAATTTTGAGAGAGTAAGCTATAAATTATAGCACAGCCATGCAGTCATCAAACAATTATACCCCAAAGAATATTTAAAACATTCTCAGAGTGGTTCTTAGGAAATGAAAAAACCTTAAGTATTTACATTTATTTGTGCTCCCCCAAAGTCATAGTACATAAAAAGACACAGTAGATGTGTGATGCTGAATTTTCATTAGGTTGGGAGGCAAGAGGGAAAAACTACCCAAAAGGGCTTCTTTGGAAGGGTGATAACAGCGGGGAAGGTTGAGAAACTCTGGGAGGTAAGTACAGAGAAATGTTCACAACTCACAGAAGAAAAGGTTACAAAACAAAAAAAGGCATACAGTCCAAAACATTCTAAAATACATTTCAAAATGGGAACCAAAGTCATTTATGGCTGGGGCACGAGTTATAGGGTCTATTTCATTCCAAACGCTTAAAAAAAAAAAAAAAACAACAACAGATTTTTATTTTCTAGTCTTTTTAAATACAATATTACTTTTCAGAATGCACTTTGGTATTTAATGAGTGGTATTTTACCCATGAATATGTAACTTATTCTCTTCAGACATTCCCAGAACACCCAGGAACAGGTGGTAGGACTTGGATATTTCTGAGGTGGCTTCAACGTGCCTGGCGCATGGGACACAGCAGCACACAAAGCCAGTGAGTCAGCCTGGGAGACTACAGCCTGGTTCTTAAAAGAATCTCCCACCCCCACCCCAAGACCCACAGCCCTGGTAAGAGAACACCTTCCTGTCTTTAAAACTTATCTCAGCTCCATACAGGGTCAGGGCCTACATCCCTCAAAGCTCTAGAGTCATCACCAAGTGTCTTAGGTCAGTTCATGGCCACTGCTGCCTTCCCTCTGCTCAGAATTAAGGGCAATACCTCGATGCTGTCACTCACGGCCCCGATGGAACTCAGCTGCACCAAAGGCAGAAAACAAAGCTTTCCAGAGGGACCTGTCATTTGGTACCAGCAGACACCATGAGTTCCTTTATTTACACAAAGTCTTAATTCTTTGATAAAGAAAAGACCAGGCTCCTCACTTCTTTCTTTGCTTAAGAGAAACAGCTGCATAAGCTATTCTTCCAAACAAGTCAAGGCCCAGGTTTCTATCTTCCCTTTTTAGTCAAGATACACAACTCCATTAGCCTATTTGTCCAAATAAGTCAAGGGTTGGACTGGGAGTCCCAGGTGAGAAGGCATAAGGGGAGGGCTCAGAAGCCAGGCAATTCACCAGATTTAACTTCTGACCTTCCCAGCCGTATGACTAAGGTGGTTAGTAATCAGTGGCCTTGGCCAAAGTGTGGTTACACCAGCCGGGCCCCTCTAATCTCTTTTTTTATTTAACGCTAGACAAAGAGAGTGATGATGGGTTAGGACAAACAAGTTTTGAGAGAACATTATTTTTCATTGATCATATTAGGACAGTCCACAGTAGTTTCTAGCATTACACATGCTTGTGACTAAGGCAAATTGTGCTCAAACTACAACTCAGCAAAAATTGTTGTGAAAATACACCAAGCTTAAAGGGAACTCCAGTACTGAGAGACTGTAACTCACATAGTGCTGTGCAATTACAACTGCAACTGTCCTCAAGGACAATTACAGGTAAGGGAGAAGCCACACGTATACTTTATTCATTAAAGTGCTTCTTTCTATCAGTACTGTTCATTATGTAGAAAAGTTACTCAGTTATCAAACTCACAAGAATTAGGTCCATTCTGTTTTGTTTTTTCTGTCTTATTAGAGTACAATTTGGTAAATTTTGACATTTATCTTGCTAGACAATGTTTCCCACTGGCCCTGAACAAAACGGATGCCAAGGGTCCCAGATCAGTACACAGCACCCAGCGTCACAACAATTTCAGAGAGAAGCCTTGGTAATGTCATAATTTTTAAGAACCACAGAAACAGAGACCTAGAAGTGATTTGTGCTCATGAATAGCCAGAACTAGGACAAGAAGTACAGAACTCACTGGACCACGTGAGTTAGGAAGGGCATCAAGTACAGAAACAGCTGACAAAATTCATGTGGAAAAAGTGAGGAAAAAAATTTGTGTAATCAAAACACAAAATTGTAGCTACATATATAACTATTTAGTATTAGCTTCCAAGTAAAGCATAAAAGAAAAAAAAAAACAGCTGCAAACATTATAAAATTGTACAAATGAATGTCTAGTTGTTTAGGGTCTAAAATTTTTATATAAGCACACACAAAAGTTTTAGAAACAATGCTATTTTTGCAAAAAATTACATTTGTCCCTGGACATAATACTCATAATTTGCTTTCAAAACAAATTCAAAATATGAGTTGGACTTGAGGTTTCCCAGCTGATCAGCTTGCAGCAGGTCATTCACTTCTGGCAAGTAGTCACTGAGCTGAATGCCTGAAAATACAAATACATTTTTATTTTACCAAACTCTTGAGTGGCTTCAGATGACTGATGATAGAGCAGTTGTGCTCCTGTTTAGAATCTAACACACCCTGCTCCTGGGCAATGCTCTCCTCTAACCCCCGTGCCCCCACTGTGCTCTTTAAGTTTAGTGACAACCTCTGCTGTAGACCCTTCCCAATGCTCAAAAGCCATCTGTGTAGTCTTCCGCAGGATCTGAAGATCTTCATTTTCTCCGTAGCTTAAGACCCACCTTCAGTGTAGGAGTTTTAAACCAAGTGATTTAAAAATAAGTATTTTAAATAAGTATATATTGCTCTATCTAGGTACGAATTTAGAAGACATGATGTCTACAGAGCTGGCTGCAGTATCTCAGCAGTGTTACAGCTAAAGTCAACAGGGCAGGCAGCACCTGCAGAGCCAGAAAGCCAAGGAACATCAGACAACGGGGCCATTTAAGTTGAGGTCCGTGTAGTTAACAAAAGTATGCATAATTTTCTAATTTGACAAAACTGGGTGAAATTTTAAATTAGTGAGATAATGATATAATTTCTCACAGTATCATAAGTTTCTCAAAACAAAATATTCTTTAAAATACTCTTGAAGTGTCTAGGTCATTATGTTTGTTGTATAATAAAACGGGCTGATAAATGCTGTGAGGTTAAATATGAATCATTTGTATGTCATTTATTGCAATTAACATAATTTTAAGAAAGACTTTTTCTCTATAAAGTTGTAAAGATTTTTTTTGAGGGGGTCCAGGGGATCGAACTTGGGACCTTGCACTTACAAGGCAGGTGGCAGAACCACCGAGCTAAATCCCTGGCCCTGACAGGGTCTCACTATGTAGTTCAGACTGCTTTGGAATTTACTGTGTAGCCCAGGCTGGTCTCAAATTCTCAGTGATCCTCCTGCCTCAGCCTCCCGAGTGCTGGGATTACAGGTATGCACCACCAAGCCTGGCAGCCAAAGACGTAATTTTTTTTTTGGTTTCTTGAGACAGGGTCTCACTATGTAGTTGAGACTGACCTGGAACTCACTATGAGCTCAGACTGGTCTCAAACTTACAGCAATCCTCCTGCCTCAGCCTCCTGAGTGCTGGGATTACAGGTATGCACCACCAAGCCTGGCAGCCAAAGACGTAATTTTTTTTTTGGTTTCTTGAGACAGGGTCTCACTATGTAGTTGAGACTGACCTGGAACTCACTATGAGCTCAGACTGGTCTCAAACTTACAGCAATCCTCCTGCCTCAGCCTCCTGAGTGCTGGGATTACAGGTGTGAGCCACCACGCCCGGCTCTAAAATGTATGTTTTTAAAAGATCAATTCTCCGGCCAGGGATTTAGCTCAGTGGTGCCATGCCTGCCTTGGGAGTGCAAGGTCCTGAGTTCAATCCCTGGTACAAACAAACAAACAAACCAATTCTCTAGAAAAAATTACTTGACCTTTAAGGGGTATGCCTTTTGTTAAGACCTAGTATTGAACAGATATTTCTCTTCTCCGTAGCAGGGTAGAAGCTCAAAAAACCACACAGGCTGACAGATAACAGTGACAGGAAGACAGGATGGCTGCAGGGTCCTGAGAAGCTTGGCCTCCAACCAAGCTGACAGTGGACTTCAAGGACCTGGCTGGTTTGCACAACCACTGGGTGTCATCCCCTCACCCCTGGTGCTAGGAGTGAACCCAGGGAGCACTGAGCCACATCCCTGGCCTTTTTTATTTTGAGGCAGGATCTTTTTTTTTTTTTTTTTCTCTTTTTGGTACCGGAGATTGAACTCAGATACTTGTGCTTGGAAGGCAGATGGCGGAACCACTGAGCTAAATGCCTGGCCCATTGAGGCAGGATCTTGCTAAGAAAAAGCTAGATGCATGCTTGTCATCTCAGCATTTGGGAAGCTGAGGCAGAAAGAGTACAAGTTCAAGGTCAGTCTGGGCTACACAGCAAGACCCTGTCTCAAAATAAAATCTACTAAGGAGAGCAAGCACTGAGCTTGTTCCTTAAATTATTTGTGTTGTGTACTTTACAGGAACCTACTTGATGGGCAGCATCAGATTTGGACCCACTGCTTTCTAGAACCTGCCAGGCTCAGCAGGAGAGCACTTCTGACAAGCACAGAGAGCACCACATCCTGTCACTTCTTCACTTCCAAAGATGGAGGAGCGAAAGCCTTACAAATATATTTCACCTCTTTCTGAATTTCAAGCCAAAGATATTTCCTTTTGCTATATGTCTTTATTTTAAACTTATTTTTTTGACCATGAAAAAGGTTTAGTTGACCTTCCAATTATTTGCTTATCCTTGGAATCAAAAGTATTCATTAGGGGGCTGGGGATTTAGCTCAGTGGCGCCATGCCTGCCTTATAAGTGCAAGGCTCTGAGTTCGATCCCCAGTACCAAAAAAAAAATAAATAAAAAGAAATGAAGGAAATATACCCAAAATATTTATACCCCATTTTAAATTTTCAGACTTCCAAACAGTTGACAGAAAGTTAAAGGAAATGATGACTTCCATCACTACACTCTGGGTGTCACACTTGTGTCCATGGATGGCCACAGGGAACCCCCAATGTGTGTGCATGGGTAACTGCATCCTTACATGTGTTCTTCCAAGTGCAGAGAACAGAGAAAAGCCCTTCTTTCTTCATTTTAAATAAATCTCTGATTTTGAGTATGATACGGTTTCATCTTAAACTTTCTTGTCATTTAATATCATAACACCCATTAAGATTTCTAAAATTGAGAATATTGTAATTTTGGATAGCAACAAACCACTTACCATCTTTTAAAAGTTTCTGTAAGATTTTCACAAATATACTGCCTTTGGATTCTTCAATTGGATCGCCTTTACCATCTGAACCAGACCAGCTAGAAAACAAAGTCACCACGAGAGGAATGAAGTCATGGACTTAGCTGAGATAAATGACTTTTGTTTGACACTGTGGCTTTGTTTGGGTTCATATCTCTGAATAAAGAACTTTAAATGTTGGGAACACTTCAATTTCTGTACACATGCAAGCCCCACTCTGACAGCTGCTCACCAACATCCCTGTCATGCATCTGATTTTGAGTACTCAAGTGTACATGCGGCACAGGGTATCTGATAACTTTCCCACAAGAAGCCAGGACAAGGATTGCCAGCCAGAGTGACCAGAACAGGATCAAAAAACCAAAGCCGCCCAGAGCAGGCACTTGAGAGAAGGATGTAGAAACGAGGCTCCCAACAGCTCTGAACTGAGGGAGTGGTTGGGGAGACCAAGCACTTTGGTAAAAGGGGCCCCCACTATCACCATGGGAAAGCAAACACGCAGAGGGGTTGCTCAGCATAAGGCCTGCTCCTCCCACTTTCCCTCAGGCACTCATCCCTACAAAAAGGCAGTTGTAGGTTCTCTGCCTTTGAAGATACACAAGAAATGCTCCTCTACAGAAAGGACAGGGTTTGAGTTGGTTACTCAAAGACTTAGAAAAAGACACTAGCTGGGTATGATGGTGCATGACTATAATGCCAGCACTTGGGAGACTGAGGCAGGAGGAGCACCCTGAGTTTGAGGGCAGCCTGGGCTACATAATGAGTTCTAGACCAACCTGAACTATGTAGTGAGATCCTGTTTCAAAAAAACCAACCCCCACCCCATTAAAAAATCCAAAAAAGACAAGCCAATGACACTTAAAATGCAATCACTTTTCAGGCCAGGGATTTAGCTTAGTGGTGACACTGCCTGCCTCGCAAGCACAAGGTCCCAAGTTCAATCCCCAGTACCAAAAAAAAAAAAAAAAAAAAAAAAAAGCTTCAAATCGTGGAATTTTATCTGGCACAATGGGTTCAACTTCTGTGAATATAAGGACCATGTAATTTCTGTGTAATCTGACAGTCTAAATACTAATATCAAAAGCAATGATTTAGCTGGGCATGGTGGCTCACACCTGTAAACCCAGCTACTCTGAGGCGAGGCAGGAGGACTACAAGTTCAAGGTCAGCCTGGGCATTTTTTAGCAAGACTGTCTCAAAAAAGAAAAAGGACTAGAGTTTTAGTTCAGCACTCCCTGGGTCCAGTCTTCTGTACTGCCAAAACAAAAAATGAAAAATAAGGCTTAGAATTTAGCTCATTGGTGCTGCTGCCTGCCTCACAAGTGCAAGGTTCTGAGTTCGATCCCCGGTAACAAAACAAAACAAAGTAAAGCAAAAAAAACAAACACCCAGACTGATTTTATTATACCAGTGGCTCTAAGTCATTAGGTTATTCTTTAATTCTGAATTTAAAATGTCAGATTACCAGTGCAACTGATAACATGTTCATAAAATGTGTTCCTACACAACCAGAAGCTTGTGTAAGTATCTGGTGTGTGATGTCACGGCCGTTTCCCATGGCACTCTGATCAGCTAAGAGACTTACTTGTCTCTCTGGAGAGCTCTGCAAAGGATTTCCAGTTTGAGATCATGGATATTCACATCTTCTTCCTTCAGAGTAGAACAAACATCCTGATTAAATCTTAGCTTTAAAAGAGAAATACATGTTTAAAGTTTATTTACGTCATCTTTTTTTTTTTTTTTGGTACCAGGGATCAAACTCAGGTCCTTGCGCTTGTGAGGCAGGCGACAGAATCACTGAGCTAAATCCCCAGCCCTATTTACATCAACTTCTAATCCTGCATTGTTAACTTTCTAATTCATAACTTTAAAATCTCCCTTTAAGGTATCAGTACCACTTAGAAAAATAAACCAATCAGTATCTATGTGAATTAGGATCGAATATTGTACTCTCTGACAATCTGACCTCGTCAAGAAGTCTTAGAGGTTAAGATTAAAAAAAAAAAAAGAATTAAAAAAAAGGGCCAGGGATTTGGCTCAGTGGTTCCACTGCCTGCTTCGCAAACACAAGGGTCCAAGTTTAATCCCCGGTACCAAAAAAAAAAAAAAAAAAGAATAAGATTGTTAAGATAAAGGGCGAGGGATTTAGCTCAGTGGTGCTGCCACCTGTCTCGCAAGTGCAAGTCCTGAGTTCCATACCTGACACCAAATAAAAAAATTTTTTAAGCAAGGCTTTAAAAAAAATTAATGTATGTTTTAATCATCTACTAAATAACTTTTGATTGCATGGTCAAGAAACAGAACAAATACTTAAGACCAGCCTTACCACATGGCTTTGCTGTATAAAACACCTTTGAGAAGTGGTGTGGTCGGACAACCCACTTTCTGGTCACCCTTCTGTCTCCCTTAGACAGAAGCTATCTTTTTCTCAATAAACTTTTCTGCTCTTAAAAACAAAAACAAAACCAACTACTACTTAGCCTACAGAATTCCTAACTACAATTTCTTGAAGTTAGAGAATCAGCTTTTCTTAGGGTGAATGCTATGAGGAAAAAAAACCCTTCAGGACTTCAAAGAGCTACTGGGGGAGGGGGCGGGTAGGTGGTACCTGGAATTGAACCCAGGGCCTTGCATGTGCTAGGCAAGCACTCTACCACTGACCTATACCCCAAGCCCCTACACTTTTTATTTATGCACAGAAGGCACTTGGGAATGTGTGAGGAATACCAGGAATTAGAACCCCTCGGCAGCTTTTTAAAAGGGCTGGATGCCTTCTAAGAGACAAGAGTAAGTAAACCAGAAATTAGTCTTTTTTCATGGGTACATTTCTGTGACTGGATAAAATAAGTATTTTCTCTTGTTTGTATGTATTCAATTACCTGAGATCATCAAAGGCGTTTACTTACCTCATCAATATATTCCAGCAAGTCCAAAGCTTTCTTAAAATCATATTCATTGGCTCTTCTGTTTTCATCACATATGTACAGCTGTGGCAAGTTACATTAAGGAAGAGAATTGTTCCAATTAATCACAGAATTGATACTAGAGAAAGTTATGGAGGAGTCATCATGTCTTCTTTTTATTAAGCTGAGGGTATTTTCATAGCCAAGAACAATGTCACATTTGGGAACTACATTTCATCTACCTAATAATAAACTTTATCCCAAAGCAGGAATTAATTCAAATAATTTGGTGCATATACTTTTAAAATATCAGAAAATTTATATTCTTACACTCAAAAAGATAGTATAGGGGCTGGGGATTTAGCTCCATGGCACCATGTCTGCCTGGCATGTGCAAGGTCCTGAGTTTGATCCCTAGCACCAAGGGGGGAAAAAAGTGTATTTCAACATTCTTTTGCACATAATCTGAAATATTTTCCTTATAAGTGATTTTAAAGACTGCAACTCCAAGTACAACACGCCATAGTTTACTTAGAGTAAGACATGCCAATTCGTTACCAATGATTCTCTTGGTTACTTAGGTGACAGCTGATTGCACTCATTTCTATACCCTTCAAATTTCCTGTAATTTTTCTAATCAGTAAAATACTGGCCTTGTTAAAAATACTAATTTGAACTTTTCCTCTCTTCCAATAACTACTTGTAATATAATAGACTTTAATTTTAAAGATGTATACAATCCTTTCATAACATTCAATTTCAGAAAAAAACTATCTGTTTATTTTTGATGTCTTATATGATTTAAAACACCAATATTTTGAACATCCTTTTACTTCTACAACCTGTGAAATTGAAATGTGGCATTAAAATTAGTGGTATATCCAAATAAAATCAATGCTATTTTTTCTTTTTTAGTGACACCTAAAATAATGACGAGTTACAATCCATCCACACCTTAGCTTTTTAAGTATGTTCTATCAGGAGAGGCTGCTATGAGCTCAGTTACAGAAACTCTGTTACTAACAAAAGCCAATGCTTAGGTGTTTGGAGTGTTTGTTTTTATACAATTAGAGCAAATTTTGGGTGGTCCTACAATATTACGCCTGCATGTGCAATGCCTTCTGAGAAGCAGGTGAAGGTGCACACGGTACCAGGCCTGCCAGGCAAGTGGGAGAGGGCACCAGCAGGCTAATGGTCCTGCTCCTGCAGCCACTACGCTATGGACCTTGAATACCCAAATGGCATTCTGGGGGAGCTACCAGGGCCTCCTGGTATATACTTTCTTTTACGTACTAGGAAAGCAAAACTACATGCAATTCTCCCAGCCTCCTGAGCACCGCAAGGCGGTGTAGAGATGAATAGGGAGGTAAAGCTGACCAGCTTTCTGCTCCTAGAGGCTTCCAACACATTTTCTAGGAAAAGGTTCTCAGGAAAGTGGAAAGCAGAAGAAGGGTTCCTTCAGGAACCACACTTGCTGTGGGAGCAGGTGAGACTGTAACACCTACGCTGATTAGCTGTGGTGCAGTCAGCACTGGCATGGCACTGAGGCTCAGCTCTCTCTCGGCTAACAGCTGCTCGGGCAGGGTCTCTTGGTGCAACAGGAAACGCTCCTGCTCAGCCATCGCTAGTTCAGGAAGAGAGGGGAGAATGACATGACTTTTACTTTTGCTCTGCCATAAAACAAATATGAGTTAAAAAATACTCATAAAGGCAATCTGACCCCTTTCCAATAATTTTGTGAAGTTATCAATTCCAACATTTTTCTTGACTGCTGGTTATGTGACTAATATACAACATTCATCTGATTCAAATCATGAATCATCACACCAGCGGGAGCAGTGAGGAGGGCAGATGAAAGGAAAAGTGCTGAGCTGCTTTGAGAGGTAAAGGCCTACATGTAAGGTCTCTCAGCCCTACTGGAGGGCAGCTCAGTGATGTGTGCGGCACAGTCCCACTCACCGAGAGAGGGACTTAAGAGTCACCATGGGATATCACACACACACACACACACACACACACCCTAGCACATATGTAACAATTCTATACTCAGAAAGAGTCACCCCCATGGGGCAAGGTTCTAGACCACCTTAGTGCACTGCACTGTTACCTGGCTCTGCCCATGAGCAGGCCCTGAGCTACCAGGAAAGCCACGCACCCAGCAGTCACAGCAAGCAGAGCAGCTGAAGCACAGGCATTCCCGCTCATCCCACACATTCCCCATTTTGCAAAATTACACACAATGTTTTTGTGCATTTTTTTGCCTGAAAAAACAGAGTGGGAGACTACATGCACATGGCTTACTTTTTGCTGTGTCTTTTTCCATAGTTTGCAATTATTCACATAGCCAAAAAAGTTACTATGAAAAGCCCTTTCCCCTGTGATTACACACACTGCAAAAACAATCTGCAGGCAATTGATGTGATCTGAAAATACTGTTCTGTGTTAAGAAGGCAAAAGCTAGGCCGGGGATTTAGCTCAGTGGTTCCACTGCCTGACTTATAAGTGCAAGGTCCTGAATTCGATCCCCAGTACCAAAAACAAAAAAAAGCTAAATGCTGTTACCTGCAATTTATGTGCACTTAGTATATGGAAGCCATTATTCTCAAGGAATATACAATATCTTCAATTTTTTTGTTTCGTTTTTTTGAGACAGGATCTCACTGTGTAGTTCAGGCTGTCCTCAAACTCATGGTGATCCTCTTGCCTCAGCCTTGTGAGTGGTGGGATTACAGACAGGCACGCACCACCATGCCTGGCTATTCTCAATTTTTAAAATTACTTTTACAGAGGGGAAAAACTAAGGCTCAGGACAATAAACAAAATACCCAATTTCACAAAGCTAATAAAATCTGAAGAAAATATCTGAAACCAGATTTATCCAATTCCTTTCTTTCTACTACATCTACTCCTTCAAAGAAAAAAAAAAGACAGCCGAATCATCTGAACAGACCTCAAAGGCTGGACTCTGCGGCTAAGACATGCAACCAAAAATCCATGTCTGCACATATTTCACACCTGACCACAGAGCAGATTCCTTATTTTGAAAAAAATTCCAAATGTACAGAAAATTTTTAAAGAACCTGGCTCACACTGTATGTCTTCTATCTAGCCACCTGGTGAGAACATTTGGGCGCTCTGGTTTATCTCTCCCTCCTTGTCTTCATTATGTCGAAGCTGCAGACACCATGACAGTTCATTCCCCAAACACTTTAGAACGTACCTCCCAAGAATAAAGACATTCATCCACGTGATGAGGCCGACAGAATTCAACATCAACATGGGAACATCATCTAAATCAAACATAAACTTTCCCAGTTGTCCCATTAATATTTATTACAGTTGCTTTGGGAATTTGATCTGAATTCCAACCAAGAACCCTGCACAGCATGAGATGTGTGTGTGTGTTTCTCTTAAACTCACCTAAAGCCACCTGCATTCCACTATTAGGGTATATGTGAGTGTTCCCTTGTGGTAACTGTAGTCTTGTGGAACACTGGCAAGAACACCATACAGGTGCTGTGGATACTGCCATGCCATCCTACCCGCTCCAAGAAGAATGCAATGTGGATCTGGCTTGAGACTGATTCTGATACATTAGTTCTGTATACTGGTACTCTAAACATGGGAATATCTGCTCCCTCAGACCCAAACTGCATGGTTCCAATATTTTTTTTTTTTATATGTGTGACAGGGTCTCATTGTGTTTTTCAGGCTGGCCTTGAACTTGCAATCCATCTGCATTACCAATCCAGGCTCATCCTATCATCTTCTGAAGACCAACTATTCACTGTGGTTGCAAAATAGCAACTCCCACTAGGCCTTTCCACATTTATTAGCTGTCATTCTTTTGTAAAGAAGCATTTCACTGACCTTCTACTCTGGTTATCACTGTGGATTCATGGGTATTTCTTTCATAAACTATGAAATGTGGTAAAACTCAGTGATACAGCACTTGCTTAGCAAGTATAAGGTTTGAACTTTTTTGATCCTCAGTAGTGACAAAAAGTAAACAAACAAAAAAAACCCCCATGATATGGAATCCTTTAGCACCCTTGCTCCTGCCGTTCAAACTGTACTGACCCCTGATCAGTGGGAGCTATACTCAAGGCCCTTGTGTTCAAGGTCTCAATGTCAATGCTGCTTTCTGGCCCAACAGGACTCTCCAAAGTAATCTTCTCATTTGGGCACATGTGCTTTCAGTGGAAACTGGTAGTGAAAAACCAAACAGCATCAGGTGTACACATGGTATTGGGCCAGGTGTTTTCACTAGAAACAGCCAACACATTTTTTAAAAAAATCAGATTCTGCCAGGCATTGTGGCACATGCTACAGTCCCAACTAGGATAGGAGGGCCAGGCGTGGTGATGCACACCTGTAATCCCAGTACTCAGGCTGACGCAGGAAGATTGCTGTGAGTTTGAGACCAGCCTGGGCTACATAGTGAGTTCTAGGTCAATCTCAATTACATAGTGTGACCCTGTCTCAAAAAACCAAAAAAAACAAAAACAAAAACAAAAAAAACAAAAAAAACAAAAAACCAAAACCAAAAAACCAAAAAAACCCAACTAGGATGATAGGAGGATCACAAATTAAGCCCAGCCTGTACAATTTAGCAAGACTGTCTCAAAATAAAAATAAAAATGGGCTGGGGATGGAAATGTAGTTTAGTGTGAAGGCCTGGGTCAGTCCCTCATACTAAAAAAAGAAAAGAAAAAAATCAGATTCTATCTGATTATCTCCAATTCAACAACAGGGTTCTCATGCTTTCCTTCTACACTTGCAACCCCCTTCTCCTTGGCTCTCAAAACAGAACCATATTGGCCAGGGATTTAGCTCAGTGGTTCTGCTGCCTGCCTCACAAGCACAAGGTCCTGAGTTCAATCCCTGGTACAAAAAAAAAAAAAAAAAGAACAGCATTTAATTATTTTCTCTATTTATATAGTATTCTCAAGATTATCGTACCAATACCACTACCCACAACAGCCCTTTATGCATAGGTCAGGATTTCTTTGCAGTTCTTTTAACTTAGAATACTAAAGTATAAAAGTATATAATTAAAATCATTTCAATTTATTCTTTAGGAACTACTTAAAATACAAATTGGGTCAGGCATGGTGGCACACGCCTGTAATCCCAGCACTTGGGAGGCTGAGGCAGGAGGATCACTGTGAGTTCGAGACCAGCCTGGGCTACATAGTGAGTTCCAGGTCAGCCTCAACTATATAGTGAGACCCTGTCTCAAAAAAAACCAAACAACCAAACAACAAACAAACAAAATATATGTAAATAAAGCATTGCATACTATTCAGGTTTAGCATATGCCTGTAATCCCAGCTATACAGGAAGCTGAGGCAGAAAGATCACAAGTTCTAGGCAAACCTGAGCAAATTAGTGAGATCCTGTCTCAAAAAAAAAAAAAAAAAAAAAAAAAAAAAAAAAAAAACTAAAAAATATATGCATGGATGTTGAATATAGGCCATTCCTCCTACAGCAGAGATACCAACAGATATAGCATGAGAGGTTGCTGATGGCCTGACCAAGGCATAGGCCCTAGTGTGTAAATTATTTTACCTTCGATTTTTTCTTGCAATGCATCCTCTGAAAGGTCTGAAGCTAATGCAGCCAATTTACTCAAGCCAAGAAGGGTTTTTTTCTTTGCAAAGTAACGAGTTTCCATATTTGCCAAACTCAGAAGTGTTGCATGAGCCTACAATAAACAAAACATGTGAACTCTAATATGCTAGTATCAACACAGCCTTGAAGTGAAGGTAAGTACACTGCAAACTTGTTCTGTCCCCCTAAGCTGTATCAACACACTCACACCGATGATTAGTAAGCCTGACATTGAGAGTAAGAGCACAATAAAATCTCAACCACATACACTAATTATGGAGGGAAAGACATGTGTAAGACATATGCTCTATAACAATTCCATATTTACCCAGTTACTCTGTCAAGAACACACTTTAGTTTCATTGTTTGTACTCATAATTTGAGTATTTTAAATGCAAGAATGTGTTCCTTACAATAACAGGTCAATGACTCTTACATATGCCAAAGCATAATGGCCTATATATTCTGAGATATGAGATGTGGTCATAATTCAAAAATGCCCTATTCAAATTAGGGGAGAGACTGGGAAGAGATACACATTTTTTTTTTTTTTTTTTTTTTTTTTTTT